ATATGAATCCCTCGGAGAACGAATGGGGGAGTCCCACAGGGTGAGGGAGAAGAACAGCGTGAAATGCCAAGATGAAGAACACTCGACTGGTTGATGCAGCAGCTGGCCCTTGTGATTGTCCAGACAAATCTGTAAAGACGACCGTAGGCTTTATGGCTCTCCTATGAAATATCAAACCACTGAGTCCGCAGCTGCTGTTCTACCGGCATGGCGTGGGGAATCCAGCATTCTGTACAGCGAACTTTTTTCCAAAGCTTGCATGACCTAGAATTTCTCCAAAGGCCGTCCATTGTGCACTTGTCAAAACCAGCGCATTGCTGCAAGTCTGCTGGCTTACCGTTAAGGTAATTGTAACGACCACTGTTGCTCGTGATGACGGGCCACCAGTTTTTCTGGCAAGCGCTCCAGGTAGGCGGCGCCACAGATGACCAGTCCCCTTGATCAGGCTAATTCTTCTGGCGCCTAGCTTCGGCTTGGTTTCTGAAAGAAATGTCAACAGGTGGCAGCGCGGGACGCGCATCGGGAGGAAGCGTTGCAAGTTCCCACGCATTGACAAATGACTGACCAGCCAAAGGGGTTGCCTAAATGCATTCAAGTCACCTTCCTGCTCGACAGGTGAATCTTCTTGGCGAGAATGCGCAGAAGAAAGGCTTTCGCCCTCTTCCCTCTCTGAGCCAAGAGGTGGGCAAATGTAACGAGGAGACGACACATCCTCAACCTTACGGAATCGAAACTCACCGTCACTTTCCCCCAAGACTCGCCAAGTCACCTATGAAGCGGCGAGGGGAGTGGGAGCGCGACCGGGGGAGTCCAACTGGTGCAGGCGAGGGTTGAGCGCTAGGGTCCTACCCCCAATCGAACTGAGATCCTGAAGAAGAGCCCCTCGCTCCGCCAGTTTCAGCCTGTTCGTGTTGCTCCTGTTTAGCGAACCTGGCCCATCTCGTGAGCGGCCGTTCCTGTTGATGTGCCCTCTGATCTCGAACACACTCACCATCTCGAACCGCGGAGTCAAGAAGCCAGGTGGTGATGTCGCCCTAGTGGCGAAGACAATGTCAAAATGGTCAGCCATGCCTGTGAGCTCGAACGCGGAACCGGAACGGATGGGACTAGTGGTTTTAGCAGATCAGCGTCAATGGGAAACGGATGGAGGAGAAGCCCTCCACCTGTCGACAACGTCACTGACGAAGATCAGTTTGATGAGAATGACGTGCCTTGCGTGGGAGAAGGCGGCATTCACGGCGTAGACGATGCCGACTGCTGATCCCGCTGAGGAGGAGGAGGCGGCGGTGCAGGCAGCCAATTCCCCGAAGGCCACCGAGACAGCATGCTGCCGAGCCGAACAAGAGTACGAGCACGAGTGGATGAAGGATTGGATCGACTATTGCAGCCTGCCTTGCCCAGGCTGACGCGCCTGGGTCCCGTACGCGAAATTATTGCAGTGCAAAGGGTATGAAACCTGGGAGCTCCCCCGCCTCTTCCGGCCATAGGGCAGGACCCGAGGCGAGAATTGGGTCACTTGCGGGCAGCTCGCGCGCGGAGCCTGGGAGGAGGAGGAGGAGGAGGAGGAGGAGGAGGAGGAGAAGGAGGAGGAGGAGGAGGAGGAGGAGGAGGAGGAGGAGCATCCCTGGCGCTTCCTTCGCCGCCGCGCCCACCGCAGGCTCTGGTCTGGCTGCAGCCGCTGGCGCAGCCGCCCCTCCAGCGGACCTCCCCGCTCGCGGCGGCGAGATCCGAGCCCTGCCCTCGCCGATCGACGACTCGGCTGCGAGCCCCGGGGGGCGGGAGGGGAGGGGGGGCGAGCCGTCTCGGGAGGCCCGGCAGGTTTCTAAGCTTGAGTCGGGCCCGTCCCTCTACAGGGGGGATGTTCAGAAATAGGCCAAACATAGTCTTGGGCCGGTTTTTTTTAGTAGTTTTTGTTCGACCATTTTGAAGGATATTGTTTTATTGTTCGTCGAAAATCCCCCTGTGGGGGGACAGGCCTGACTTAATTCTAGGCATTCCCCGAAGGCGCCAGGAACTTCTGAGAAGGCCGGAGGGCTTCCGAGAAGCCCCGCCGCCTTCTGAGAAGGCCTGCCCCTTCTCACTTCCCCCCTGCCCTCGCCGATCAACGATTCAGGCAGCTCGATGGGCGGCAGGGGTAGGGTTCGGATGTCCCCACCTACTCGTTCTCCTCTCCCCCTCCCCTGGACCCCAAGGACCCAAGGACGACCCCCAAAACACCCCAAACTTCCCCGATTATCGAACCCCTCCCTGCCCCTCGACCCTCGACCCCTTCGAACTTCATCGACACCCCCTGCCCCTCGAACTTCCTCGACCCCCCTCGAGCTTCCTCGACCCCCTCGACCCTTATCGAACTTCCTCGACCCCCCCCTCGACCCTCCCGGCCCCTCCTCCTCCTCCTCCTCCTCCTCCTCCTCCTCCTCCTCCCCTCCTCCTCCCTCCTCCTCCCTCCTCCTCCTCCCTCCTCCTCCTCCTCCTCCTCCTCCTTCCTCCTCCTCTCTCCTCCTCCTCCTCCTCCTCCTCCTCCTCCTCCTCCTCCGCTTCCGCCTCCGCCTCCGCCTCCGCCTCCGCCTCCGCCTCCTCCGCGCGCGGGGTCTGTGATGGAGCCGCGATCGTCACTTTTTATCACATGTCACCTTGACCTGTAGCTGGCTCGCCTCCTCCTCCTCGTCCTCCTCGTCCTCCTCTTCGTCCGCCTCCTCCACTTCGTCCGCCTCCTCCTCCTCCTCCTGAGCCGCTGAGACGCTGATGGCACTTGAGTTCGTCGAGCGCCGCCGCTTCCCCCAGGGAGGCCCAGTCGGGCCCCCCCTGGGGGAGTTGAACAACATCGAGAAGATTGTGGAGCAAGGTCCCGCAGACAGGAGAGGAGAAGGAAGAGAGGGAATGAATCACGAAGGGGAAGGGTGGAGGGGAGGCTGCTGGCATAGGCGTGAAACATGTAACTGTGGCGGCTGAATCCTCCTCTTCCTCCTCCTCCTCGTATCTCCCCCACTCCTGCATGCTCGAGAGATGGTTGAGTGTCTGGTACCAGTTCAGCTGCACATCTGGTACCAGCCGTACTGTTTTTTTATGCATCAGCACACGTCAGAGCGATTGCTATGCTTGCTCGCAATGGGTTGTTACACAGGGCTGTCAGCATCTGTGGCTACCCGTGACTGCCAGCATGTGTGGCTATCTTGTCCACGATACCTTTCATGAACCGATCCCGTTTGGTCTCTCTGGTGGCAAACATGTTCCCAACCTCTCCTGCATGTGCCCGTTCTTTGTTTCCCCCCTCCCGTTGTCTGCACACGTTCCCAACCCTCTCCTACAAGAGCCCCAAAACCTTTCCCCCCCTACCCCGAGTGCACGGATGCATCGCCGTATCCATTTGCGCCCGAGTGCTAACCTAGCGAGGCAAGAGGTCACTGGAACTCGGCCGCTCACCCCTCTTCCCTCCTCTTCCCTGCTTTCTCCCCATTCCCTGGGCCCGTCTTTCTCATCCCTCTCCCCCTCCCCCCCCCCCTGCCCCCTCCCTGACGCTCTCGTCTCTCCTCTTGATGGTTTCTTGCTGCCTGGCCGACCCGGCCTCAGCCGCGTTGCCGGCCATCTTGGTGAGCGCTAGCCCATGCTCGTCCTTCCCGTCCCAGTTTGTCGACACCATTTCTCTTGACCCGCTCGTTGAGCCAGCCTTCATCCTCGCCCAATCCCTCAGTAGCTTCGGCGGGTTGTGCAGGGTTCTTAACGCGAAGGCCACAGGCGTAAGTCGTGCCCTGAGGTGAGGGCCCTCACTTTCGCGCCTCCCTCTTCCTGCGCGACCTCCTCGGGAAGATGGGCCCAGTGGTGCCCCCCTGGGAGCAGGAATGGCCCTCAGGCGGGGGCCCCTGGGAGGCACGCGAGGCGAGGGCCTTCTAGTGAGGGTCCTCAGTTCGTGCCTTCCTCCCCTCGTATCCTCCCTCATGTGAGGGGAGGCCCTCAGGTGAGCGAGTGGGCCCTCAGCTGCGGGCCCCTGGGGAGTCGGCGCACCAGGCCGGCTCGTGGACGCACCAAAGTGGAACCACCGAAGGTAGGCAGTTGCGGTTGTTTGTCCCCCCCCGTACCCTTCTAGCTTCAAGCTTTGTCAGTCATGCATCCGACTACTGCGCAACTTTTTCATGCTACGCTATCAGTCCGACTTGAGATATGGGTACGGATTCGCGTCTGTCCCAAGGCTCACTCAAACTGGCCCCGCACCGTCCTCGTGACATTCCGTGCTCTTGGGCTTGTTCGTGCTACTTGCCTATGAGTGTATATATTTGCCTGCACTGAAGTGCGCGCGGAAATGCAGCGAGGATGCCGCCACGCTCACACTTGGAGGAGGTGCGAGCGTGCGCCATAGGAAGAACTGCCCGAATCTCCTCCCCTGGTGATTTCCCACCGGGATCGAGAAGTCAGAATTCCAGGCGTGCTGGCCCATCCGTTACCGAATGGGCCCGCCGTCAACCAGAGCTCCCGCGCAGTATTCCGTGACACAGTTCAGTCGATTATCGAGCGGCTCATTCTCCAACATGTTTTCAGTTCGATAGAATCATGTTATCAGCTCTGGCGGGTCGTTGCCGGCCACTTCGGTGAGCACCGGCCCTTCCCTGTGCTTCTTCGCCTTTCTGTCGACACCATTGTTCTTGGCCCGCTCGTTATGCCAGCCTTCGTTATGCCAGCCTTCATCCGCGCCCCATCCCCCCATAGCCTCGGCGGGCAGGGCGTGGTCCTTCACGCGAAAGCCCTGGCCGAAAATCGTGCCTTCAAGCGAGGGCTCTCACTCTCGCGCCTGCCTCGTCCCCCGCCCCTCCCTCTCAGGCAAGGGGGCCCAGTGGTGCCCCCCTGGGAGCAGGAATGGCCCTCAGGCGGGGGCCCCTGGGAGGCACGCGAGGCGAGGGCCTTCTAGTGAGGGTCCTCAGTTCGTGCCTTCCTCCTCCCCTCGTATCCTCCCTCATGTGAGGGGAGGCCCTCAGGTGAGCGAGTGGGCCCTCAGCTGCGGGCCCCTGGGGAGTCGGCGCACCAGGCCGGCTCGTGGACGCACCAAAGTGGAACCACCGAAGGTAGGCAGTTGCGGTTGTCTAGTGCGCCCCCTGGTACATTGATAGTCCCAGACTGTGTCAATAGCGCATCTGATTCTTTATTAGGCTTTGTTAGGGCTTCATCAGGATGCGGGCGCGTATTTCGCGCCCACGTTTGGTTAAAGTATCATCCGGTGCGCCGCGGTGCACCACGGTCCAGCCGCACCTCACCAGCACATCCTCGAGCTCCCCGCCCAAACCTGCTTCCTCGCCCACCCCGCATCATCGTTCGGCCTCCTCCTCCGCTTCCCGCCTGTTCCTCGTCTCCTCCTCCTCGCCCCCCGTCCTCCTCTTCGTCCGCCTCCTCCCTCGCAGGACCTCGTCCGCGGCCAGCCTGAAGGTGCCCGTCCCCGCCGGCGCCTGCAGCCGGGACGACGGCGCGACCTCCGCCGCTTGGCCTCGTGGGGGGGGGAGAAGAGCAAGGCGGCGCGGGGGAGAGGGGGAGAGGCGAGATGGGGGGTGTGGGAGGGAGGCGGGAGAGGAGTAGCCTGGGGGGAAGGGATCATGGGGAAGTGGAAACGAGGTGGATGTTGTTGAGGAGGAGGATGAGGAGGAGGAAAAACATAGTTGGTGGGATTGTTTAGGGAGGAGGAGTTTAGCAGTTTGCATGCAGCTATCTTTGCGGCCAAGCGTAACCTTGAGTGCCGAGACGCCACAGAGGCGACTGAACCTCACCACTAAGCAGGCCTGCGATCAGTGTACCAGCCAGCCACATCACAACAGTAGGGTCCGTTCATTCATTCACTATTCTGGCCAGTATCTCGTTCAACTCCTGTCCTACTTCCATCTTGCATCGGATACTTGACTCCATCCTGTCTTGCTTCCATCCTGTCCTACTTCCATCCATCAAGTTGTGGATCTTGATCACCTCCATCATCCCCTTCGCGGACCTCGGCACGCATACTCTGCGGCCTCGTAGGCTGCCTGACTTTTTCGTAATTCACCGCCATTCCCTCTACCCCTGCGTGGCGTGGCCGTGGTATCTGTAACTCTGACCAAGCCGGCTCTTGCATGGACTCACCTTTTCCCTCAGGAGCGTGCTTGCTCAGTGCAAACAATTGAGGTTTTTTTTGTGGTCACCTTTGACCGAACCAGTTTCAAGTGGGCCGCCAGGCGGCCCAACAGACGGAGCACACCGAGATCGGAGGGCACCAACTATACACCAACACCGATCCTGGCCAGGATCGGTGTTGGTGTATAGTTGGTGCCTTCCTACAACAGACTGAGCACACAGAGGCAGCAGGCCACGGAGACATCTCCCGCTGGCGGGAGGATTCCCCCTGGACCGCCCGCGCCCGGCGCCTCTTCCATCGGACCCCGGCTCGTGGCCCGCACCGGGCCTGCCCGAGACCGAAGGGAGCGCTGCCCTCCTCCTCTCTGGGGCTGGCCGCCGCATTTCGGAGTGCGGACCTGGGATCATGAGGTAGGAGGGCACCAATTATACTCGGGGGAGCGTAAGACCTGGGTTTGCCAGGACTCGGGTTCGCCATCGTTTTTTGACGACCGCGCCTCGGATTTTGACGAGGAGGAGTTTCGTGGGATGTCTGCAGCGGGAGGCCTTGTCAAAATGCAGGTTCGGCCTCGTCATTTTTTTGACAACCTCGTTGGGGATTTCCGAGTCCCCTGTACCCAGGTCTTACGTCCCCCTGATATACACCAACACCAATCCTGGCCAGGATCACCCTGGGCCCAGGATCGGTGTGTACGCCCTCCTGCCCTGCGCAAGAAGGCACATACACCCATCCTGGGCCCAGGGTGATCCTGGGCCAGGATCGGTGTTGGTGTATAGTTGGTGCCCTCCGATGAGGGGAGGACCTGGCCGCTTGCCGGGAGCCATCCTCTCCCTCAACAACAAGACGGGGAGCCTCCTCCTCGGGACTTCGACCCTCGAGCACGGATTTGGCGGCGGCAGCCGCCGCCTCGCATCCATCATCGAAGATGTCAGCTCCAAAGACTGGTGTGCCTGGCACCTCTGGAGGCACTATCCCTCCCCGACCCAAACGCATCCACCCCCGCCCCCCCATTAAGCAGCTTCACGAGCTGCAGTCCTGGCACTGACGGCCGCCAGACAATCCAGCGGCGTGGCAGAGGCGGCGACCTGCAGTGGCCTGGCGGCTATATCATACGCCTGGGCCTCCTGTCGGGAAAGTGGGTCCTCCTTCGCGGCACAACTGACGATCCAATCGTGCCTGGGAGGGAGGCCTCGGCGACGTCTGCGCAAAGCTGTCGTGCCCGCGCTGCTTCGCTCGTCATCACGCCGCGGTCGGGCACACGCTTGCGCAAGTTTGTGCACCCTGCGCTGGGCAACGTAGCCGCAACTCATACAACAACTTCGAGGTCTGGCCTGATTTTCGACCTGGGCCATCTTGGGCGCTCCAACGCGCCGCGGAACCCCCTGTCCAGGTCAGTGGGGAGGGGGTAGGGGGAGGGGTAAACCCCTCCCCGAAGGGGAAGAGGGAGGGGTGGAAGAGGAAACGCTCTAAACCACCGACGCCCAGAGGGCTGGTGGGATTCATACAACAAATTTGAGGTCTAACCTGATTTTCGACCCGAGTGCTGGCCAGAACATGGCCGTGCAGCGGGGCCCGAACTAGGAGTCCACGGGCCAGGGCGGGGAGACCCCCGCAGCCAACTTCGGGCTGCTAACGTAAGGCAACTAGAACACCTGCGACCCCACATCCAGGGCCTGTAAGGCGGAGGAGGAGGAGGAGGAGGAGAAGGAGGAGGAGGAGGAGGAGGAGGAGGGGAAGGAGGAGGAGGAGGAGGAGGAGGAGGAGGAGGAGGAGGAGGAGGAGGAGGAGGAGGAGGAGGAGGAGGAGGAGGAGGAGGAGGAGCAAAGTAAGGCCGCTAAAGTAAGGGCTCCCACGCGTGCCAGCCTGTGGCCTTCTGACAGACCTTGCGCACGCGCTCACGCTGAGGCGGCCTCTGGTGAACCACCCTAGGGAAGATCGGCAAAACAGCCGCCACGAGACGCGCCACCATGTCAGGACCCTGGATCGATCTCTTGAGCTCGTCCTCCTCGGCCTGCGAAGGCCTGGGATGGAATTCGAGAGCTCTCTTGGCCTCCCGATCGGCCCTCCAATTCGCCAGACCGATCCATCGATCTGGGGCAGGCAACACTTCAACGTCTTCCAACTTACGATGTGCAGGCGTGTGAACAGCTGGGGCACACTCATTATTATGCATATGCAATAACGCACCGCGCCTTAGACCACCATATCTCTGCTTGCTGCAAGTCTGTTCGTGCACACTCGTGATATGCAGATTGACCGCGTTCATACAATCACTGTAACAGGCACGCCCACGAAACTTAGGAACAACAATCGGCATCAAAGCTATCTGCAACTGCTCTGCTTCTTGACTGGTCTGTGGGAGACTGGGCCCCCACAGTGCCGCGTGCAACGTGTGTGATGGCCCCCTGGTCATTGAAGACAGCCCAAGAGTACCCCGCCCGCGACAGCTCAGGTATCGTATGTGGGTAGCATGAACCATCCCCTGCCACATCGAGCCCACTCGGATCAACATCTTGCCAGGGGACCTCCACACCATGCTCGTCATACAGCGTTGGTTCGTGACTGTCCGAGAGTCCAGGCCACTTCTCGACGGGGGGAGGCCATTTCAGCGCCGTGCAGAAGCTAACCTCACCGTCGACCGCGGCCTGGAGGAACGCATCAGTGGCCTCAACGGCCTCCCTTGCAGCCTTGACCTGAGGGTGAGCACACTTGAAAATCCTGTGGGCAACTGAGTCTGGCTCCTGGCAAAGGGGGCACTTCCCATCAGATATGTACCCCGACGCTCTAGCTCTGTCCTCGGTCCGGCCGGCTCTAAAGACCCGAAGATGGTAGCGATCGGGCGGCGTTTTCGCCCTCGTCCAATGTAGATGTCGGATGCGAGACAGCGGGGCAGGATCTCGACGAGGTGCGCCTTCTCTCGAAGCGGCCATCAAGGAGTGTGGGAGGACGAACCAGTGGACCTCGGCGTTGCAACTGCTCTGTGAAGCGTCTCAGCTACGTGCGAGAGCCAGCCCAGAGGCCAATACCCTTCGTGTTAGGCTTGGTTATCCTGCGTATCGGATCCGCGCACACCCTCGCACCAGAGCCTTCACCGCAAGTCGTCTTTCGTGGTAACGCTGAACCCTCGCCTGGAGGAGGTGCCCTATCATCGAGGGGGTGTTATATAAAAGAGAAAGCTCGTTACCCCCGTCATCCTTCCAGTCCAGGGGCGAGGAAGTCGACCACATCCGAGCCAGGGAGAGGAACATCCTGCTAATGGGGCCCTTGCTTTGACCCCACGTAAGTCCTGTCTGGTCGACGGTGCGCCACATGGCGCACAGCTGGGGCAGGCTGAAGAAGGCAAACTGCGGCACCGTGATGGCGCTCCACACTGAGTGAGACCAGGCAACCGCTGGCGCCACCATGCTGCGCCAAAGGGGGTCACCATTGATCACAATCTTGGCCCTAGTCGAAACACCCGCATGGTGCGGCGCCTGGAAAGACACAAGCACGCTTCGCCCTCGCTTAAGTTCAGCATCCGTCATGCCGACGACGGTGTCCCCGAAACAGACAGTCGGTTTGACCCCAGCCGTGTAGATCCTACCAATCCTGGATTTCTTTCTCCCTGGGGAGGGCCCTTCGGTATCGCTGGAGAACCCTATGCCGCTTGAACATGTCCGCAAGCCGCCTTCTGCGCTTTTTGAGGTGAGCCTTAGTCCCTCTACGGCCCACTGGGGCCAAGTCACACCCCAAAGACACCATGTGGGTACCGACTTCGCCCGCCAGAATTCCAAGCCGTTCCCCAAGGCGACGAGCGATGTCCCCATTGGAACCGAAAGTTATCAACTTATCTGGAGCTAGGTTGACCCCAAGCTCCTTGGTGAAGACAGCGTGCAAGTCCTGTGCAGCACCCTCAAGGGCATCAAGCACTGCATCTGGCTCGCCGTGGCAACTCACCGTGTCGTCGTCAATGTACGACGCCAGTTCCACACTAGGGTGACGACGCACGAAGCCGTCGAAGGGCTCCAGCGCGTACACGCACACAAAAATATCATTAAACAAAATCCTGCTGGCAACCCATTGTTCGCATACAGCGGCACCAGACTGTGGTCCGCTCCAAGCCTGAGGATGCGTGGGCCTCGCCAAAAATTGAACGTAACTTTGATCACGATCGGGTTAAGGCCTGCTCGGAGGCCCCGCTCTTTTAAAGACCGCCAGGTCAAAGCTTTCGTAGTACTTGGACCCGTCCCAAGAGAACCCCGCCGTGACACCCCCTTCGGCGACATCAGCTTCCGCTTTCACCGCCTGGTTCCAAATGCTACTTTCCGCCGCCTTCCCCGCCCCGAAGGCCCAGTACCTACGGGGGTGATCCATGTTAAGGGTATTGACGACGGGCCGACGAAGCTTCTCCCATAAGCGCACGGGAGCGGCACACAGCAGCACCGGCCTCAGCCCACCCTTGGGCTTCTCGAGGAGGGGGAAGAGCATCCAATACACAGCCTTGGGAAACACTCCGATTTTTTCAACTGTTTGAAATGCAGGCCAAGGTACTAAGCCCGTCATCGGACATACACGCGAAATGCCTGACATGCATTCCGTCCAGCGACTGCGCCGTGTGCGGAGAGAGACTCTTAGACGCCGCTCTGATGGCCTCAGGAGTGAGCCTGTCCAGACAGGAGCGATCTGGGACCTCCAAAAGGGCAGGAGTGGTGCGAGCGTTCCAGAAACCCCCAAGGACATCAGCTTCCCTCGCCAAGAGCATTCTGGGGTCCGCCGAGAAAGTGCCAGGAGCGGTTTCAATCACCGTCGGTTGCCACTCAGCCTTCAATCTTGTCAGTCGGTGCATCTTGCGGGCCGAGCCCGCAAGAGCTTCCTGCTGCCACTGGTCCCAACTGAGCCTGGCCTTCTGGTCAAGCTCCTTCCTAGCATCGTTGAAATCGCCGTCCCACCATTCCAGGGCCTGGGAGCATCGAGCTATCCAACTCGCGAGGTCCTCTGGGCGTTGGGGCCTCTCGCCAGCAAGCCGCCGTGCAGCCTGCACCGCGACATCGAGGCGAGTGGAAATCCCCTCGGCATCGAAAGGTTGGCAAAGGATGGCTGCCAAATTGCAAACAAATGAGGAGGATGCGGCTGCGGAGGAGGAGGAGGAGGGAGGGAGGGAGGGAGGGAGGGAGGGAGGGAGGGAGGGAGGGGAGGGGAGGAGGAGGAGGAGAGGAGGAGGAGGAGGAGGAGGAGGAGGAGGAGGATGAGGATGAGGAGGAGTATGTTGAGAGGCATACGGAGAGGATGAGGATCATGGAGGAGGAGGAGGACGAGGGGGAGGACGAGGAGGATAATGATGAGGAGGAGGAGGAGGAACTCCACGTCCGCCCCCCGCCTCCCACCTGCCGCCAGGCGCGGCGCGCAAGGGCAAACCCCGCAGGGCCTCTTCCTCCAGCGACCTCGCGCGCGGCGGGGCAGCCGCCGCGGTGTCCGAGGCCCCCCCGCGCTTGGCAGAGGGGGATCAAGGGAGAGAAGGTGGCTGGTTCTGGCCCGCCACGCCTCGGCGCAACACGCTGTCCGCGCCCCCCTTTCCAGGATACAACGTCCCGATCGGGCCGTTGCCGAGCCTCCAGCACCTCGCAGCGCAGCGACACGCCATCCGCTTGCAAACTGCAAGGCGAAGCGTGTCGCCCCCATCCGCGATGCAAAAGTTCCCGACCTGCGGCGGCGGGAAGGCGAGGATTGGTGGGCAGGGGGCGGGGGGTGGGGGGAGGGAGGGAGGTCGAGGGCGACGATGGCCAGGCGGTCGCAAACATGGATCAAGGGGGCGTGGATCAGCGACGGGTCCCATTTGCGTGGGAAATTGTGGATGTCCGCCGCCGAACGAGGCGGCGCGGGCCGCATTCTGGGGAGGACGCCTCCCCCGATCCATGGATTTGGCGACCGCGCGCCAAATCCATGGATCGCTAGTCCATGTTTGCGCGCCCCCGAGATGGGGGCTCGGACGTGGGGTTCCCACGCGCGGCACGGTGGACCAGCAGCGCCTGGGCGCCCCCTTGATGCCCAGGGATCCAGGATACGGCTTGAGCCAGGGGCTACGGAGGGGGGGGGAGCAACACATGTGTCCATGGGGCGCCGATGGTCTATGTCTTCGGCGAGGCTTCTGGACGAATGCGTGTCGTCCCCGCCCTTGGGCTATTCGCCCCTATCGCCGCCTCCGTGAATTGGGGGGACTGGAGGTGCAGGAGAAGCAGGAGGCGGAGGGGGTGTGATGATGTAGGTAGGGAGGACAGCGGCCCGAAGCCAGTTAGCGGGCATGTCTAGCCCGTCGCCGCCTGGGAGTCCGATGCGCTGTCAGAAACCTCCCAAGCCTCGCCATCCGCGGCTTTGGCGCAGAGGCGCCCCCCAAGGGCCGTTCACGAGGGAAGGTCGGCTTCGGTCAGGGCGGCAGCCCCCAGCACGCAGGCCATAGGCTCAAGGCGGGGGCGTGAACCCCCTCTCCAACCGCAGCGGCTCCAAGACCCCCAAGACCCGTACCTCCCAGAGCCTGTTCGCTGGGGTTGAACATCGCAGCCAATCGCACACGAATCTCCATGGGCACCTCTTCGCGCGAAGGGTGGATGATGAGGGGGGGAGGAGGGGGAGGAAAATGATGAGGATGACCGGGACGAGAAAGGAAGGGGAGGGAGGAGGAGGAGGACGAGGACGAGGAGAAGGATGATGGGGGATGATGATGATGCTGATGATGCTGATGATGATGATGGTGATGATGATGATGATGATGATGATGATGATGATGATGATGATGTGATGGCGAGGAGGAGGAGGAGGAGGAGGAGGAGGAAGAAGAGGAATCATAATAATAAGAATAATAATACTAATAATATTAATACTGATATTAATAGTCATACTAATAAGAATAAGAATAATAATACGAGCAAGAATAATAATAATGGTAATAAGAAGAGTAATAAGAAAAATAATACTAAGAACATTAAGAATAATAAGAACACTAATAATAATAATGATAACATTAATAATAATAAGAATATTAATACTAATACTAATACTAATACTAATAATAAGCATGATAATAATAATAATATCAATAATAATAACAAATATTAATAATACTCATAATAATACTAATACTAATAATAATAACAACAATCATAATATATATAATAATAATAATAATAATAATGATATTAATAATAAGAAGAAACATAATGTTAATAATAGGAATAATAATAAGAATAGTAATAATAATAAGAATAATAATAATAATAGGAAAATTAATAATAATAATAATACTAATAATAATAAGAAGAATAATAATAATAAGAAGGGAGAAGAGGAGGAGGAGGAGGAGGAGGAGGAGGAGGAGCGGGAGCAATAGCAGGAGAAGGATGATGAGGAAAAGGAAAAGGAGGAGGAGGAGGAGCAGGAGCAGGAGCAATATCAGGAGGAGGAGGAGGAGGAGGAGGAGGAGGAGGAGCAGGAGTTGGAGGAGGAGGAGGAGGAGGACCAGTGTAAACCCAAGACGCATCAACGATGTTGCGGTAAACGCTCCCTCCAAGTTTCCTTTTCGTGAAGGTCCTGCAACATGTATCTTCGTTGTAGAAGCGGCCCGTTCAAAGACAAACATCGTAATTGTTCAGAAACGCAAACGGTTTCATTTCGCCAGACTCCAACTACTGGGTTGGGACGTCCGGTTCGGTTCACGTCGGTTCGGTTCGGAGGGCAACCCGGTTCCGGCTCGGTTCTGGTTTTGGTTCGGTTCGGTTCCCTCCGGTTCGGTTCTAAACGAATTCGTTTCGGTCTGGTTCGGTTTTTATTTTCTTGTTTTGGTCCAGTTCCGTTCGGTTCGGTCACGGTTATTGGTTTTCGGTTCGGTTTGGTCCCTTCATGTACCTTGGACGCCACATGGGACGCGCAGGGCAGCAGCACCGCATGGCACGTCAGCTGCAGGGGCACGCGTCACGTGTAGGGCGCCTCGCTTCAGCTGCCCCGACGTCCTCATGATTATTCGTCATGGTCATCCTCGTCACCGCTTGCACATATTGGCTCAAGCTTTGGCACTGACTGCCTCAAGCCTCGTGGTCTTCCAGGGTGGTTGGTGTACGGGGGGTCGTCGGCCTGCGGTCCTGTGTGCGTTGGGTTGGGACGTGCGGTTCAGTGCACGTCGGTTCGGTTCGGAGGGCCACCGGGTTCCGGTTCGGTTCAGGTTCTGGTTCGGTTCGGTTCCCCCTGGTTCGGTTCTAAACGAATCCGGTTCGGTCCTGCTCGTTTTTTTTTTTGTTTGTTTCTTTTCCTGTTTTGGTCGAGTTCGGTTCGGTTCGATCACGGTTCTCGGTTCTCGATTCGGTTTGGTCCTTTCATGCAACTACGAGAAATGCCTCGCCAGGACCATATAAGGCAATCCAACAACAGTTTCGCATTATACATTTGATCGGATTCGGGCACCTTTAAATTGTTAAATTGTACGACAGTCCCAAACTGTGCCAAACCACGGTTCATGCGACCTCTACGCTGCGAGTGAACTTGACTGTTGCGTCCTGACAATCCTGAACCGTGCCAGAAAGCCAGTCCTGGGATTTCAACCTTGCGAATGTGTGCGGCGCTGATGCGAGAGCGACATTTTGAACAGGAAGCGGCCTCCATGTTTGAAGTTGTTGTTTAGTTTTTCAAGGCGTTTGTGCGCGGCGGTAAGGCGATAGCTCCAGTTTTGAAAACGTCTCGCCCTCAATTTTTCAAAGTGTTGCAGCTTTAAGCCTCAGGATAATGAGCTGTGTCGAATTCTCAGACGAAGCTCCCGTCCCAGGGGATAGAGGATGAGGATGATGGATGATGATTATGGTGATGATGAGGATGATGATGATGCTCATGCTGATGCCGATGCTGATGCTGATGCTGAGGATGATGATGCTGATGATGATGATGGCGGCGATGAT